GTAATGAATACAGGCTCCATCAAGAAGCAGGATTGAGCAACACTCTCATTTAGATTGCTGTTTCTCCTACCAATGCATGTGCTAATTACATTCAAATTAGACCGGTGAGGAAGAGGAGGAGACAAGGACTAATACAGGGTTTCATTCTTGCATTCTATCTTGCTTTGTCCGCCTCTCTGTTTCGCTCTCTCATTTTCTTTCTGTTGCTTACTTGAATCTTTAGGCTACTGTGAGCTCCGCCTGGCTCTGTCAGGTAGCAATTTAGAAGGCAACATTTGATGGCACAAGTGGAGGACCAGATGATAACGCAGAGAGAAACACAGTGATGTAATCCTTCCACTATTAAGTAGAGCATACACATATAAATATGAGCCATGTGTTTAGTGTGTGAGGAGGTAAAATATAGATTGAAAGAGATGAAAAACAGTGGGAGGAGAAAGATAGGAAAGCAAACAGAATGAAGGAGATAATGAAAAGGCTGACGCTGAGGGGGAAATTCACCACCAACGAAATGCGCTCGCTGTTTATTTGCACTGTCTGCGTCGTTTTAGCACTCGATTCACTAAACGATTTATGTAAAACAATGCAAACACATACACACACATGCAGTGCTTAATGCAATGTACATGCACTTTCACCATAAAGCCAGATGAGATCCTGCTTGAGATCCTGAATCGGTTCTTTAAGATTAGAAATGCGCGTCTTGATGTAAGTGCGGTAATAATGCTCTCCATCGTTTCATCACATCTACTGACAAGAACACTTAAAAATGACAAAAGTAGTATTTAATGAAATTCTGTTTATTGCCTGCTAGCAAACTTACATAGTTTTGTGAGTGAGGCATGAATAAAGACAGAAGGCATGCTTGTGCTAAAAAATATGACAATATAAAATGCAAATCTAATGTATGCAAAAAAAATGTCAATACGGGGGGAAAAACTGTTTGTAAATAAAGCAGAGTTTCCATCCCACGTGTTCAAGAGAACAAAACTCTCACTTTCAGTGAAATTAAATAAAAAAAAAATAATAAAAATTTTCTCAAAATGTCTAATACATTTCACAAATATTTACAAAGAAACAGCGAGTAGCACATAAAATTAAGCATAACATTTTGAAGTTGTAAAATGCACGAAAAATATTTGTAGAATAATTGTAGTGTAGAAATTAAAATGAAGTTGTAGCCACTGAGGAGGATGCTTTAGATTAAAAAAATTAAGATGCTACATGATCATAGTATTAATTTATTGTGCATTATGCATATTTGCTATGCACATTTTTGCACTGAACAAAACATTTATCCATAAAAGTTTTTTTATGGACATTTTGTTTACATATCGGTTTTAACGATGTAAAAAAAATTATTTTTTTTTGCAAGTAATACAAAGATAACTGGAGTATGTTTTACAAATGAAATACAAGTGAAATTTACTAGCAATTTATGAGTGAAAATTCAAAGTAAATCCAGTGAAAATCACTGAAAATCTCAATCATATATAATTATGTACTATTATAATTATATATTTCAATTTTACATACATTATTTATCAATAATATTTTATAAATAAATGAAACATTTTAGTATTTTAAAAAATACAACAAATAATTGTCAGAATGTCCTGTTTAATTCAGTGTTACTTGCCGTTTCTTTGTAATTATTTGTTACATTTACTATCAATTTCTGAGTGAAAAATAGTTTCAAAGTCCTACACCAGTTATTTTTTTTCAGTGCGTTTAAAATACGTGTGTTCACCCTCATGTTAAACTACATCGTGGATTAAGACGAAGATTTTTGCTGCAACATCCCATAACCATTTCTGTTGCAACATCAGCACCAGTTCATCGATGCTAGACAGTTGCCACAGCAACATCGCCATGGCTACATTACTCACTGCAAAATCACCATGGCTACATTTCAAAGCATCCGAGTTTCTGCGCCGCTCCCTCCAGCAGTCTATTGACCGCTCCCGCCTTTCTCTCTGCCTCTGTCTCCTTCTGTATTTTTCTCACAGGTTTTACCCAGAATGCTGTGGCAGCAAAGAGAGATGGACAGCGATGATTCCTCTCTTTGTTATGCAAGACACACACACACACACACCTGCCGTTCTCTGAGCTGCTGACATGTGGGAGGACTTTTAAAGCGAGGCCATTGTACTGACAGAGACACCAGCTGTTTGAAAGAAAGCGAGAAATCCTGCACATTCTGAAACAGGCAGAAAAACAGGGAAGTTAACTCATTAGCTCCTGCCGCTGGAGTCAGAGGTCTGCTCATCGTTTGCTCTCTCCATCTGTTAAGTGTTCTTGTTTTCTCTCAGTGTTTGCAGCTCTTTCTTACACGAGCTCAAGGTCAATAGCTGCAGATTAACTGAGAAGCATCCTTACGTAACGATGGGTTTGTGCAGAGCTCAGATCCTCTCAGGATTCACACACATTTCTAGTTAATATATATAATTTTTGTTTTCTCTTTTTTTTTTTTCCTCTGGTCTAACGATTTTTTACTCCTAAACGGTTTTATATATTAACATTTTTAACATTTTGTTAAATATTTTATATGAATAATTGTATTAATTTAAATGTATTTTGCACTACATTTTCACATATTTATATTTCCTTTTTTATTAAAAATAAATAATAATAATAAAATAAACATTTGGAACACTAACTATATGAACTCTGTACAGACAGCCAGATGTTCTTTCATTAAAATGTGAATCATTCCCAAATAAAGCTGGATAACATGATCGTCAGACAGACAGAGAGGCTCATTGAGATTGAGAAGAAGTTTCTCTGACCTCAGACTGCATCCATGCACTTCATTTTCTCTTTCTGAACCTTCACAGACGGCCTGACGGACGTCTTCTTCCACTCCTCTTTCTCTCTCTCTTTCTCATTCACTTCGGGGCACGTCTGCACTACTTTGTAATTTTTCATTGGGAATTTGGAGAGAAGTGTGACATTTTAACGGGCTTGTTAGAGTCCCGTCCTCTCCCAGAAAACTCTCTTTTGAATACTAAACGGATTTTCCTCTCTTCAGTGAAAGAAAGGCCTAAACGTCTCACTTAGAAGGACGTTCTGAGCTCCTGTTGAGATACAAAAGACTTGTCTCCTATTCAATAACTTCATGGATGTTTTTTTTTCACGAAGCTTAGATTTGAACAGATCAGAAGCTTTTAACACTCTTCAGGTTTTGCAATAAATATTTACTATTTATTTCTGTCGAGTCCTAAACGCGGCGCATTTTGTTTCAAAGTGAATCCTGGTTGCACGCTTGTTTGCTGGAGAAAAACAAGCAAGCGAACCGCACGGAGCTCGGCTAGGTCAATATTAATTACCAAAGTTGTTGAGCATACAGCAGCTGCTGTAAACAAATGCAAATTCATTTTCATATCAAACAAGATCCCTCGGCTCGCACACGGATTCTGACGCTTGCTGGAAGTCAGGATGATCCACATACGGCCATTTCAAAGAAGCAATCTGTGAAATCATCATCCACTTTCTCATTTAACAACGGGAGAAAACTATTGGACCATAGTTGAGCAATTTAATATTTCCTCCCCGTTTGGGTTTGGCAGTGAGCAGCAATGAGAAACAGATGAGGGAAGCCATCGCAGCGGAGACCGATTCGTCTGGAGCAATTGTAAAAATATTGAGGATTTTAAAGGGAAAGTGCAGCCAGAAACGACCAATTGACCCATATGAGCTTTTGCCTTTCAGCTTTTTAGATATTTAGCAGAATGTTCAAGCTGCTCTCTTTCACAGTGAGGAACTTTAGGTATCGCAACAGTCAAGGTCCTACGATAAGATAGTGTGAGGATGAGTGAGAGTTAATGGAAAAGAGCAGTCTACTAAATAATGCCTTCTGTGTTTTACAGGGAAAGTTGTGAAGGTGAGATGACACAATTGTCATGTTTAGGTCAACAGAAGAAGAAGTTGTGAAAATAATCCTTTGGTTGGGTCCAGGGTTATTATAGTTAATTAAAACAATCAATCAATCAATAAATGTTTGTACTTGAAATACAATAAACATTACCTGAAATAAAAAATATGAACATCTATTTAAAAAAAAAAAACGTTTTATTTCAGCAACAAGTTGTATCAACTAAAGAGTAAAATAAAATCAAATTGAACTACGTGATTTTATTGATCAGCTAAAATTAAAACCATTAAAACATTGTTACTTATAATAAAATAAAATAAACAATTTAAATTTGAAAAATATATTTTAAAAAGTTTTAAAAATGATCAAATATTTTAGTTTAACTTGACTAAAATGTACTAAAATAAGAAAAATGAAATAAAAATTAATAAAAACTATTTATCTATCTATCAATCCATCCATCAATCTATCCATCCATCCATCAATCTATCCATCTATCTATCAATCCATCCATCAATCTATCCATCCATCCATCCATCAATCTATCCATCCATCCATCTAACATCCATCCATCCATTTATCTATCTATCTATCTATCCATCCATCCATCCATCCATCCATCCATCCATCCATCCATCCATCCAGCTATCTATCTATCTATCCATCCATCCATCCATCCATCCATCCATCCATCCATCCATCTATCTATCAATCCATCCATCCATTTATCTATCTATCCATCCATCCATCCATCCATCCATCCATCCATCTAGCTATCTATCTATCTATCCATCCATCCATCCATCCATCCATCTATCAATCTATCCATCCATCAATCTATCCATCCATCAATCTATCCATCTAACATCCATCCATCCATCTAACATCCATCCATCCATCTAACATCCATCCATCCATCCATCTATCCATCTATCAATCTATCCATCCATCCATTCATTCATCCATCCATCCATCTATCCATCTATCAATCTATCCATTCATCCATCTAAAAATGACTTTACTTTACTAAAATTATAATGAAAACAGAAAATGTAAAGATGTACAGTGACTGACGACAGTAGCAGTATGTGAGTGGTGCGGTCTCAGCAGTGTTCTCAGCACTCACCGCTGATGGTGACAGACGCCTGTGCTTCTTCTCCCAGCAGCGGCTGGCTCAGTCTGCAGCTGTAAGTGCTGCTGGGCTCCAGGATCACCGTCAGGACGCTCTTCACGCTGAACAGACCCTCCTCGTTGGCCACCTGTGAGACAGTGACGTTGTCGGTCAGATTGTGTCCGGCTCCGTCCTGCCAGAGCACCTCTGCCTCAGGGTAACCTCCGTACGCCACGCAGCTGAGGGCCACCGCATCGCCGGGCTTCAGGGCCGAGTCTGGGCCCCAGGTGACCAGCGGCTTGGAGAACGGAGCTGCGATGGACCGAGAGACCGACAGAGAGAGAGAGGGAGAGAGAGAGAGAGAGATGCAGAGAGAGAGAGAGAGAGACAGAGAGAGAGGACTAGTTAGTGTTTGTAACACATACCTGCAAACACCCGACCGGTGGTCTAGAGCAGGGTTGTTATTGTTATTAAAACCATTTCAAACAAAACAAAACAAATTAATAAATTAATTATTAATCAATCAATCAATCAATCAATCAATCAATTAATTAATTAAAAATAAA